AACATTTCACATAATTATACATCTCTGAATTATTGTCTACAAACTAATACTTCTATAAGTATGATACAGTACATTAAAAGCCAAACTTTTAAGGTGCTAATGATAAGTCTCGGATACCAACTAACAATAGTTTAACTGAATTATTATTTTGCAGAAATTTCTCGATCGATCCTACCATGTAAAGTGCTTAGTGTGTATATAAAATCCAACGGCCCTTTGACATTAATTACGTGATCGGGCGTTCCGGTTTACATGTACTTATGTGAAAGCTAGGAACACACACACACACACACACAAAATAAAATTTAGAAATCTGTTAGTGCACAATAAATTTTAGCGTTTAAGGGGCTCTTGTGCCAAAGGTGCTAAAATTAGTAGTGCGCCAAATATTCTCGTTTTACGGTACATGTATATGATGTTTGATGCTCAAACAATACTTACAATACATACAGATGCCTCATTGAATGAAAATGTCCAGATATATTTGTCAAGCCACAGTCTATTAAATCAATTCTGTGAAGGAAAATAGAATGGATTATTTACATGTACATGTGATTTGAATAAATCTCTAATATTAGTGTTTAACGATATATAAATTTTTAACCATTTAAAAGCATCCTAAATTTTCAGCAATTTTATAGAGATGAAGATGGAGAAAGAATATTAAATAGAGAACACCAGCTTCGAGGATGGAGAACTTCAATTTCACTCCACTTAAATTAATGAAAAGGACAACAAATGACAGTGTTCTAGAAAATGGACTAACTTCCATTTTCCTCTGAACTAAAGTTTAAATATTACATGTCGATCTTGACAATATAATGAGTTTATTTAGAAATTTCAAGTGATAATGATGGAAGCAGAGATATACTAGTCAATTGGAAACATATGAGCTGGCTTGACTTACAGTCAGTATCCTTATGCACTCAGCATATGTTTCATCAGGTACAGCAACATTTTTTTTTAATGGGTATATTGAACAAGTAACCATCAGTCAGAATAATTTTTTCTAACCGAGGAGAGGGGATTCTTAATTTAATATCATAGGAAATATGCAATCGCAATTTTGAAAAAAAAACGTTTTACCCACCCAGTCACAGAAGCTGGGGACAATGAATCACTTTCTTTTACACAACATCGACCTCTGGCTGTTGAGTTTAAACTTTGACATTCTAGAGTTGATGGACTTTTGCATGATAAATCACATACATGTACAGCTGAGATCTAAAAGAAATTGAAAATAATATTTCGCATAACAGTCTTGCACTATGGTACATTAAAACACATCTCAGATCATAGGAGGATAGGGAGAAAAATTAGCTAGACCTAGTTATAGGATAAAATTATATAAAAATACATGAAATCATATCATTATCACTGGGTATTCTTAAATCTAATATCTCCTTTTGTTTAAATTTATTTTGAGATATTTGGCTTTTACACAATAGAATGTAGGCCTCAGTCTGGCCTTCTACCAAGCAACTTCTCAGATTGATTAACTGCTCTACTGATAATAAGATGCTGATTCAGTTAATTCTAAAAATCACTGAAATAAGATTGAATAATTACTTGTTGAGAAAAAGATAAAATCTTTAACATACCACTGAAATATCGCCATCAGTCACAGTAAAATAAAACAATAAAAGAACGCACAAATACTTTCCCCACATATTGAAAGTAAATCATAGAGACTTTTTGCTTCGTAGCTCGAATTTACTCAATTAGCGGGCATCGGAACACATTAACCCATACATAAAATGATTCGTAAGCCTCACATTGTTCTCGTACCTATAAGTTTGCGAACTCCTGTGCATATTGCTAAATTGCTCTATAAAATAACTTTCAAAATATCATGTCAACTTAATAAGTATGAATAATATTACTCATCATATCATCCATGATGAAAAATACAACTTTATTATTACCCCCCCCCCCTTTTTTTTGCATTACCCAAATGTCATACCTTTTGATTCTTTTACTTTTCGTTTGTTAGTAACTGTTTTGGCTGTGCACTTTATAAAACCTTCTTCACAGCTTCTGATTTAATACGGGGGAAACATTTAATTATTTTAGTGAGGATTCAAGTAGGTGTGAATTTGTGTCAGTTCTTTTGCCAATTTCCAAGCACACATACATGTACATGATGTAGTTCTGCTTGTGCATATAAACTTGTTTCATGATTTTTTTTTCACAGATAAATGTACTGTTATCATCCATAGAGAATAGAGAGAAAAGATGAAAGGAAAATCATTTTTTTTTATTGTGGCAGTTTAAACATAATGAAAAATTATAACAATTAAAATAAAATATTAATGCTACATAGGCTGAGAAGATCTCTGCGTATTTTTCTTGACTACTTGAGAAATCAGAAGATTTGCAAATGATAGGTAAACTAGTTCAAATATGATTTAACACTACCTCGGAAATTATTTTTTATAAAAAAAGGTACAGTATAAAAGGTAACTTATACATTATGTAAAGACATCATCATAGGAACATTTTATTAATAAAAACATACTCTAACAAAACAACTACAGGGATAAGATTAACTTTGTTGATTGTTCTTTAACAAGAGATAAAAAAAAATACTAATGAAATACTTGTAACTCAGATTTACATGAATGATAAAAAGTCCAAATACAACATCTTCCATACAATTCTATCATACAAGTACAGAATATTTTTAAAAATGGTGACTTAAAACAAATGTAACAGAAACACACATTTCATGCTCTCAGAATAACCATACACTAAAATCACCACAAACAACATATAAAAAACTTATATAAAGAAACATATAACATTTATAAACAACAAAATAATTAAATCTGAATATTCAGTGCGTAGTATTCTCCATATCACAGAAAATCAATACTCATTTCCTCTCTAGATCAAACATCCACCAGTGCCTGCATCTCTACATTCAGTTCTCTATCTCCTTTTTGTGCCTCCAAATCCTGAAGCTGTACGAGTACCAGTGGAACCTCCTCCCAGTCCCCCCATGCTGAATCCCGAACCAGAACCAGAGCTGAACCAGCCAGGTGAGGCCCTCCTGTTCCACCCCCAGCCTGTTGTGTAGGGTGAGGCATAGCCAGGGGCATAGTAATTATTTCTGTTGTTTCCAAGCATGTATCCCAGGATGCCACCTGTGAAAGCTCCTGACCAAAATCCTCCACCAGTTCCTGCACCACCTGTGCCGGGGGCGTAAGTGGTTCCACATCCTTTGTGAATATAAAAAAATATTTTTATTTAATCCAGAAATTAAGCAACTGGTTTGCAAAAGTAAGTCTTAATATTTCTCGATGTGTCTTGATTTATTTGGAATACATGTACATTTTCAATCCAAAATATTTCGTATGTATCGCCACAATTTTCAGAATCTGTTTTAAAACTAAAACTTTCATAAATATTGAATGGAGACTTGGAAAATATGGACTTGTATAATGAAACATATCCATTGGCAAGTCCATAGTAAGCACTTCAATCAGGAAATCTATGTTCTCATTATGCAAGAATCTCCAACTTTGGAAAAAAATCTTTAAAATCTCCTTTTATAGCACTACTTCCTGACCCAGTGGTAAAACTCTTTTTTCAAAATTAATGACATCCAGTAGGCTAGGCAGTAGTATAACAAAGCCCTATTGAAAATGACTGAAGTTTCTTGTACCTGGCTGTGTGTACTCGTCTCTGAAGCCTGGTGGAGGCGGTTGTTGATAACCACTTCCCATGGGTCTGTAGCCATTATTGGCACCATAGCCAGCTGTAGCTGATACACACGTCTTATATATAATGTAGATAATCAGAGCTGCCACTCCAAGTGTTAACAGGTCACTAAATATTGACCCCACTTTGCGTCCATATCTGAAGTAAAAGATCAAAATTCCCTTTCACATTTTTAACAATAAAAATAAATTATATTTTTTTCAATTATCAAAATTACAAGTAGGTCACAGTCTGTTACATCAATATATTCAATGACTGGATGATGAACTTACCCATAGGACTGACTACCAGTATAGGGGCTACTGTATGATTGACCACCATAGTAATCGTGTCCCCCGCTCTGCTGCTGTTGGTACCCTTCTTTTGTGAGATCAATAGTGTACTCCAACTAAATATCAGAACACAAATCATTTAAAATCTCAGTACTTGAGAAGGTTTTCCTTCATATATTGTTACATTTACAATTATATTTTTTCAACAAACTAAACTAGCAAATACATTTGATACTATAAAAAAATTATATAAAAAAAATCCTACCCCACAGGAGCCTCTCAAAACATAGGGGTCATCTGGATAATCATATCCCTCACAGCTCACATCCACTGAACCAAAGCGGTAAGCATTGTCCATGTCAGTTTTACACTCCCACTAATCAACATAAAAAAATAAAGTTATTGTAATATGGATACTTTATCTGAAAGCCACACACAAAAGATTAAAATTGAAATAGTTTACCAATGTGTCTTTTCCCCGAATTGTTAATTTCTCCATTATCAAGATTTATTATCAAGAGATCATATTGAATTGAAGCATTACATGAATTTTATTGATTTTTAAATGTTCACGCTATTTAACCAATGCTGCATGTTCAAACATTTCACTGCTATGGATTTACCCATAATATTATTAAGAGACTTGTATACCTGTACATCATAACCATCAGATCCCCTGTTATAACACTGTACAACTTGTGGTTTGAAGGTATTACAACCGGCTGTCCCTCCAACACACTTCAACTGTAAAAAAAATGTAACTTTTATTTCATAAGTCATTGAAGAGAATTATGAGTTCACAACTTCTTTTGAAACTGTGTTTAAGAATTGCATGGTCATCTTGGTATTAACAAGTTTTATTTATAATGTACCATGTACCAGAAGTTGCGCATTGTCCATATACACCAAATAATCACCAGAAACCTATTACAGATTTAATGTACCTTCCACTCCATAGAATAATTCATATAGAGGAAACCTTCGATTCATACATTTTCCAGAATTTTTTCTACTATAATTTATCATCCATGTTGACATTGTGAACTCTCTGATTTGTAACAAGTATACTAAATTTACATGAATAAAAATTCTTTGCATCCCTTTCTAATATTTTGATGTACTGCAATGTACTGCCTACATATATAATATGAGTACTGTAACAAATCTTTAGTTCAATGGACAATATCAATGATAGAAATTTTACCTGTAAAATTTTCAGCATCATGAAAAGAAACATTTAAAACCTGTACCTGAGGGACGGCCGCAGATCTCCTGGCATTGGTCATCATTCCACTTTTCAAGGTAAGGGTTTGGATATCTGTAAGTCGAACTTTATCCCCATGACTTCCAAATGCCCCTGTAACGGAACATGAGTAACCACATAATAGGATGTTTGTCCTGACAATAAAAGATGTTTCCTGATATTTTGAATTTATGAACCGTAAACTTACCCAGTGCAACAGTAATGAACATGTACACAATGAATAAACACAAAATGCTCCTCATTTTTTTTATACTGTTCAATTTTTCTGGCCACCGGCAATCTGTATTATTAAGTTCTTGCTGTCAGATGCTGTAAGTGTAAACAAGGTTTCAGTTTTAATTTCAACGACAAGAATCGAAAGTTAATGGTCAAGTAAATGTCCCACACTATGATGTTGAGTTCAGAATAGAAAATATCACTTTAAATACACGTTAAAATGACAAAATAAATAAATGACGAAACTTACAGCTGCTATTTTTCTAGAATGTTTACTTCTACGTAGAAATAGAATTTACATCTACGTGTACTTCCGGTGGTGCAGCGTCCAGACAATTCAATCTAGTTTACTTCGGTTGAATGTCCCTGATTTAAGGATATCCGATCCTCATCCAGGAAGGATAACTCCAGAAATTAATATTTAATTTGAAATGCATCAAAATGAAGCGTGAAAATGTAATTTTTTATGCAACGATTTTCATTTTATTTATCTTTATGAGATTCAAAGTTTTTGGAAGTCTTAGAAAAGGTCTTATAAAAGTTGAAATTTATACCCTATAAACGGAAAAAATAATTAATACAGCATTAGAGAAATAAGATTTTCTAATGCTTAATAGCATGATATGAAATATCATGTGATTTGTGGTGTTTTGCAATGATAGCAAAAGCCTTTTACACTATGTATTATAGAATACATGTCGGAAATAGAAGACAAAAAAATACCAAATAAGTATAAAAATCATGACAATTTCTCTGAATGCCTGGATACCTATCGTTTTTTAACCTAAAATATATTTGTTGATCAATTTGCAATTAGAAAATACATTGCCGATATTTCAATTCGCTTTTTCTGCAAATTGACAATTTTCCCGATATAATAGGATTAACTTTAATTAAAGAAATACTGTGGATAAATTTCATTGGCGTCGGAAGCAAATTGAAAGTGGGGGGCTAAGTGTAAAAAAAAATTTTTGTACCTTTCGTGTGGAGGGAGGGGGGGGGGCTTCAGTACCAAAATTTTTTTCCAAACACCACCACTTTCCCCATTTTTAACCTATACTAAGACATATCTGTGGAAAGGGGGGAGGGGGCTAAACCTACGAAGATATGTTTAATGTCTATACAAGTATATATTTGAAAAAAAAGTGGGGGCTAAGCCCCCCCCCCCCCCCCCGATTCCGACGCCTATGAATTTACATAAGTTTGTGGAATCCGAGATACTTTTATGAGTACTTTTGATTACTTAACCGCGAATTTTAAAATCCTGATCGGACTACCTTAAATTACAGGTGCTTGAGAACAGGACCCTCCCCGTTCGATATAGACGCCTGGGCCTTTTCGACTTCTTTCTCTTAAATAATCTTTCATTAACATATTTGTGATAAGATCTATACCAACAAATCGAAAATTTACCCGAAACAATCTACATTCTATATATAGAGTGGGGTAAAAAAGCATTTTTTTTAATTGGTAGGATAGATTATATCACAAATGTGTCATCTATATACAGTTTATGTGAAAAAAGTCTAAAAGGTCCGGGGGTCTATATTGGAGGGAGGGTCCTGTCCTCAAGCACATGTGTTGCAAACACTATAGAAATAACGACCACTATTGAAATAATTATTCATGACATTATTTTCACAATGCAATACAGTAGTCCAGTAAACAATTTTTACTTGTGTTGTTTTCGTTTCGAAGTCAACCGAAGGCGAGCAAGAGGCCAATATGCCACATCGCTCACAAGCAGTTAAATGTCTCTGAATTCACAAAGTTTAAAAATGAAATTAGATATAATCATATTATAAAGGACCATAAGGGAAAACATAATGAAATTTGCTTATTATATGTATTTTTAAACTATATGATATATTTTCAGGAAATTATGCGAATGTATGAAAACATCATTTAAACATTTTCTATTTCAAAAATATAGTTTAGGATAAAAATAGGCATTCCGAGAAAATTGCATTTTTTTTTTAAAATATATATATATTTATATGGTATTTTAGTTCTTCTATTTACATAAATTATCATTTTATAACACAAAACACAATCTTGTTCTATCAGTGCAAGAGAACACAAATCAATTGTCTTTTCATCTCATGCAATACTGGACCTCAGGTTATTCTGCAACACTCACGAAAACAGCTCACAATAAAATCAACCAACTCCACAGCAAAACGATCGCGATCGCCGATTTTTGAAAAGTCTTACATGGGCTTTCGTAAGAAAAAAAAAAACACTCAGTTTTTTGCATTGTGAGGGGACAAAAATATCTAGAGGAATAAATAACATGTATAAATGTGTCATTTATGACTCTCCTTTAACTGATTCATTTGATTAATGAAAATGGTTTGCTTTCTTTTGATTTCAGGGTCAATCAAGCCATATATACATGTACCTTCATTACTGATGTCATAATTGGAAGCAACATCAGACATTTGGGAACACAAATCTATTTTCATTTCATCCTGAAAAAGAAATTCTTCCACACCACAAAGTTCCGCAAAATGGCACAAGACAAATGGTTTCCTTTGATGTGTTGTTTTATTATTCTGTGGTCATTCCAGGATTGGGCACAACGGCATCGAGCCCATTCTATAATCAAAGAAAAAGAAATTGAGACTTTCATTATTTATACTGAACAAAGACATTGGGATTAAACAAATAAATCCTTGACAGAGATTAGTTATTTTCCTATAACTTAGCATTCATCCTTTGTCTCGGAACACTGTAATGTGGAAAAGGCGCCTCTCCAACGTCTGATTCACACTTCATATACTTCATGAAATATTTGGAGATAAAGAACAGTATTCAAGCTCAAAAGTCCATCAAACAATACAAATTTGGAGCAGAGCAAGCACGGACCTCAAAAACATCAGAGGTGGGATCAAGTGCCACGGAGGCGTGAACATCCTCTGCCGTCCGGTCACACCTGCCGTGTGCTCCATGGTAGGATTTCATTTGTCATACCGGCGTACGCCGAATGCGCCGCTTGACCTTTCGTAACCCGACTTGTTACTTCATTTGACCGGGTTCGCCGGCGTACGCCGAATGCGCCGGTCTGAAATGACCGGCGAGGAAATCGCCGGTCTTGGAAATGCAGAAGGATAAAACGTACGCTGAACTAGGACCTTAGGTCCCCCGCGCAGTTCACGTCTCTCGGGTCTGTTTACTCCGCTACAAAATGTAGTGCGTTGCATACGTAAAGTGAAAATAGAATAAATCGTAATACTGTGAAGCCTTTTCAGTGTAAAAAAAAACCAGAAAATTTATTTTTGTCAAGGGAATAACCATCTGTGATGGGTTTTAGAAAACAAAGAGGGGAAGGGGGGTCGCAGAGCAACATTAACTTCAATATTATAAGATATATGATATATTAGAGTTTAACACATATGGATTATGTTGGGTGACCTGTGGTCTCCCCTTTGATTTTATTATTCCATGTAAGGTTATAGTATCTTTAGAACACAGTGCCTAACCTCTGATCTTCCTACTAAGTAATAGTGAGCGACTCAGAGTAAACGACGTACGTCCAGTCTATGCATTCGCAGATCTCTAACAAGCGGGGGGGGGGGTGAAGATTTTTGCCCCCTACCACCCCCTTTTCATTTCGCTAGGACTTTTCACCAATCCTTTAACATAATGGAATAATTATTTGTTAATAAATTATTTAATGTCTCTTTTGTCTTCCTTATGAGGTCATGTTTAAATATGCGACCTCATCACTTTAACACTCTTTGCCGGAAATCCCTGATTTTTATTTATCTTTCAAAGAAGATGTACACCCTGTATTACAAAGTTTGGGGCTGCATGGAGTTCTCCTCCCCTTTCCCTGGAATTAACACATCAAATTCATAAACCCATCAAAACTACATTAAAAAAAGGAAATAAAATTTTAAAAATGCACCAATTGTTATTTAACTTTGGGATACATATACTGTATTTGAAGATAAGCAAGTTGACTAATCCTCCAAATTCCAATTACATACATGTACATTTCGAGAATTCGGAGAAATTGTGCACTTTTTCCTCGGTCAAAAAATTAGGGTCGCAATTCTTTTTTTGAGAGGATTTGAAAAATAATTCTACACATACCATGATTTTAAATTATTGCCTACTTACAACTTTTAATGACATCGTAATAATGTACAACGTAAGATTACCTTTGTCTCATTTATATACTACAACTTGTGAAGTATGAAATCTTTATTGATGGACAATATAAGACTTCCGCTTGTTTCCATAATCTTTATGCGAATACCAGAGGTATTAAAAAGTTAATAAGACCAGAAGTCACTTTATATCGGACATCTTTAGGGCGACCATAGGTCACCTTATACTGTACACCAAAAGGGAGACCAGATGTCATCTTCCGATCTACATCATATGGGGCACCAGAGGCCACCTTATATTGTACATAAGTAGGGGGACCAGAGGTCACCTTAAATTGAATAACAGTAGGGGGACCAGAGGAAACCTTATAATGCACTTTATCTAAGAAGGGGGAACAAAAGTTATCTTATACTCTAAATCAGTAGGGAGACCAGTAAGCATCTTACTTGTACATCAGTAGGGGGCCCAGAGGACACCTTATATTGTATATCAGTAGGGGACATCAGTAGGAAGACCAGAGGTCACCTTATATAGTACATCAGTAGGGGGACCTGTGGTCATCTTATATTGAACATCAGTAGGGGACCAGAGGACACCTAATATACTTTAGATCAATAGGGTGACCAGAGGGCACCTTATATTGTACATCAAGAGGGGGCACCAGTAGGGGACTCAGAGGACACCTTAAATTAACATCAATAGGGGACCCAGTAGGGGGACCAGAGGTCCCCTTATATTGTACATCAGTAGGGGACCTGTGGTCACCTTATATTGAACATCAGTAGGGGACCAGAGGACACCTTATATTGTACATCAGTAGGGGGACCAGAGGACACCTAATATTACACTTAAGATCAATAGGGGGACCAGAGGGCACCTTATATTGTACATCAGTAGGGGACATCAGTAGGGGGACTAGAGGTCACCTTATATTGTACATCAGTAGGGGACCTGTGGTCACCTTATATTGAACATCAGTAGGGGACCAGAGGACACCTTATATTGTACATCAGTAGGGGGATCAGAGGCCACCTAATATTACACTTTACATCAATAGGGGGACCAGAGGGCACCTTATATTGTACATCAGTAGGGGGACTTGAGGTCACCTTATATTGTATATCAATAGGGGGACCAGAGGTAACCTTATATTGTACATCAGTAGGGGGACCAGAGGACACCATATATTGTACATTGGTAGGGGGACTAGGGGTCACCTTATATTGTACATCAGT